CGACTGACAGTGTATTCTCATTATCAGTATGAAATCGTACGAAAAGTTATACACAGTATTTCGTACGTTTTTGACGTATTTTTCGTCGTATTTTTACGTCTTGCCTCGAGACAAGATATCCTTGCGCATGCGCATCTTACGCACTATCATGAAGTAATTATTGCACTGTCCGTCCCAGTTTTACGTCCGTCCGCGGATCTGCTTTTTTCGTCTGTCTGGCTGTGCATGCGCACTGATCTGTTTTTTCAAGGAAAAACGTCCAAAACGTACGAAATACTGTGCGTAACTTTTCGTACTATTTCATACGAACTGATAATGAGAATATGTTGCGACTAATGAGGAACTGACATTGAACGGATGTCGGCCATCAGATAACTGACCTGGAACTGACGGCCCACGGATGGCGTACGTTGGTATACATCGACAACATGTGTCCGCGTGTTTTGGCGTTTTTTTGTGTACTTTAACGTTCTCATAACTTATCCAACGTATGGCAGCGTTTTTGCCAGATTTTTCCTACTTCAGGCATCCGCTGGTCTAAATCATCAAGTGTGAGACGGGCTTCAGACTTTTTTTGTTTTTAAACTTAAGAACTCAAATACATCCAGAATGAAACCAATAAAACACAGAAAAACAGGAATCAAAGTGAAACTCAAATAGAAAACTTAAACAGAACCAAAAAGTGCAGAATCATGACAGATAGAGGAGCTAAAGTTAAATCCTGCAGTGCTTCAGTCGGCCTGATTTCCCTTTAACTCGCTGTCATGATTTCCCTTCTTTCAGGGAGCTGTGGGATCGCAGGTCGTCATGGTGACGGTGGGAAACATGAGTCAGACCGCCGACACCTCCTTCACCTACGATAATAACCTGACCCCTCAGATCTCTGGCCTGAGTCCTCTGACTGCGTCTGTGACAGGTCAGTAACGAGGAGACGCTGAGCCCCATAACGCCACAGTACCTCTGAGCAGCCTCACAGGCCACCGTACTTTGGCCGAAATCAAACATCGCTCAGTGTTTCCGTGTACGACCACTTCGCTCTCAGCGGTTTTTCTCCTCCAGCTGCGTAACGGCAGGTTTCTGCCTTTTGTTGAGATGGAAGCTGTAATCCCAGGAGACGAACAGGTAATCCTGTAAAAGCTCCACACCTTTTCCAGCAAGAACACCTGCCAGCCTGAGTGATGCGTTGGTTGAGCTCTGCGGAGCGGCAGGTGGCGATTGGCTGAGAGCATCAGAAGGTTCTGCAGGATGGCGGCGGCGTGATTGCTCTCTTTCTCTTTTGTTCAGGAGATCAACTTCTCATCATCCAGGGTTCTAACCTGGGAGGCCAAGATAACGACAGCCTGGTTCTGGTCGGAGAGAAGGAGTGTGTCGCCGCGCTGTGGACGGAGACGCAGATCAGCTGCCGTCTTCCTGTGATGCCACCTGGTGTTTACAGGGTGGATGTGCAGGTCGGGAACAGAGGCTTCCCCCAAACCAGGTACAGAGTCTGAGCTCTGGAGAACATCTGTCTGAATCCTGAGGTTCTCCACCTGCTTAGAAGATGCTTGCTTTCATCAGCTAAGCTCTGAAAATAGCATCAAGATATCAGGAGATGGGAAATAACATCCCTGTGAAAGGAGGGGGGATGAGGGGGATGGTGAAGAAAGGAGGGAGGATGAGGGGGATGCTGAAGAAAGGAGGGAGGATGAGGGGGATGC